GGAAAAAAAAAAAAAAAAAAAAAAAAAAAAAAAAAAAAAAATGTGGGTCAGCATGAACCACAAATTGTTTACTCATTTGTGATGAAGGGAGCGTAGTAGAGAGTAAAATCTGTATTTTTCATAGACAGAACAGATAATGCCTAAAATTAAATAAATAAATAACAATTAAGCATGTTGTCTAGAATAAAGAGATTAATTCAAGAAAAAACAGTTAAGAGTTGTTGCCTCTCAGAGGTGGGATGGGTGGTGGGAAGAAATGGGGCAGAGATTGCTATTTTTCATTCAATTCTGACTGTTAACTCTGTGTAAATTATTATTTTGGTAAAATTTAAAGTTCAATTAAAAAAAGAAAAAGCTAATATGAGACATTTAAGCAGGGAATATTAATGATATGTATTACTTACCACACTGTATAATTGGCTGCATTTAACTCAATAGCATCCTGGGTTAGTTTAAAAGCTCGTTCACTTCTTTCATCACGCTGCAGAACAGCTCGGAAATAATCATAAACATCTCTAACTGGAGACAGAGCACACAACTGCATTAAGACTATCTTTCTTGTTTAAAATTAGCCCTATAACATAAAATGTTGTTACACCTTATGTGGGAAAACATTTTATTTTCATGTATATTATTTATATTGAAAAAGCTGAATAGAGTCAATTGATTGTGACTGCCATCTGACAACACTCTAGTGTCACAGCTGCAAAGAATGGGCTATACGTGTATAACCATGCTGACTGATTATGTGCATGTATCTGGGTTAACGCCAGATTCCAAATCTCCCAAAGATCTTATGTATAAAAGTAAAATTAAGAGAGTATATATTCAAATACATTTAAGTAGCTGTTTTTCTCACATTTTATTATGATCAGATTTTTTACTGCAAAATATGCACAATGGTAGAAAACTCAAATGGTACAAAAAGGTTCATGTTAAATTTCCATTTCACTAAATTCCCAGTCCTCCTCCTCAGAAGCCCACTGTTAACTGATTCTGACGTATCCTTCCAAATATAGTCTAGGCATGTACAAGTATATGGCCTAATTCCATCCTTCAAATGAGATCACATCACACTCAGTGTTCTGGGACTTGCTTTTTTCACTCATGTGCTATTATTAGGTAGTGTAGGGCTGGCCGGTTAGTCCAGTGGGTTGGAGCACAGCCTTATAACCCCAAAGTCGCAGGTTCAGTTCCCCATAGTGGCCAGCCACCAAAAAAAAAAAAAAAAAAGATAGTGTAAACTAATACAAACTTCTACGGAAAACCACTAAGTAATATCTATTAAAAATCAAAATTTAAGGGCTGGCCCGTGGCTCACTCGGCAGAGTGCGGTGCTGATAGCACCAAGGCCACGGGTTTGGATCCCATATAGGGATGGCTGGTTCGCTCACTGGGTGAGCGTGGTGTTGACAACACCAAGTCAAGGGTTAAGATCCCCTTACTGGTCATCCATAAAAAATAAAATAAAATCAATAAATGCTTTTTGTGAAAGAGGAATGATCTTGGATAATAAAACCTTAACTGAAAGAAATATATATATATATACACACACACACACACACAACTACAAAACTAGCATTCCATTTTACCCATTTACTCTTTCCTACAATAACTAAGAATTAACATTTGTGTGACCTTCAATTTACAGAGCATTTTCACACTCATTATAAAAGAATAATCCGTTGTGAAAGAAAATAATCCATTTACTTTAATAATTCCAACTGATCCTAACACTTCATTGCCAAAATATATTTCAAAATGGTGATGTTTAAGCAACCAAAGTTTATTCTGAATAAGACAGTAACTCAATTATGGTGTACCTTACAAGCAGATTAAATAGCAAATGAAAAGCACAATGACATAATAGTTCTTAACGTAACATTCATTACTTAGAATATTTCCATTCTTTGGGCCGGCCCGTGGCTCACTCGGTAGAGTGCGGTGCTGATAACACCAAGGCCACGGGTTCGGATCCCATATAGGGATGGCCGGTTCGCTCACTGGCTGAGTGTGGTGCTGACAACACCAAGCCAAGGGTTGAGATCCCCTTACCGGTCATCTTTTTAAAAAAAAAAAAAAAGAATATTTCCATTCTTTGGATAAAATAAAACTTTTAATCATAAAAATAAATCTCAAAACCCACAAAATTAACTAATCTTAAGTCATTCAGATCTTTATTAGATAAAAATCTGTCACATACATAACTACATAGTTGTGAATTTCAACTTTGCTACTAAGTTAGCCTTACAAATCTTTTCCTAAAAAAAAAAACTTACATTTTTCACTATAGATGATCTGAACCACTGGATTGGGACCATCGTTCTGTGGCACTGGATCTATATCTGCCCATTCTGCTCTGTCTCTGAAAATACACACTTTTTTCAATGATTATATTCAAACACATAAGAAGGAAAAGAACTCTGATCTTTTACAAAATGGCAACAATTACACTTACATTAATACTAGTATCTTATAGAGGTCTTAATGTAATCATGGTTGGATTCTTTGTAACCAAGTTTTGCCACTTTGCTTTACATATTAAACTTTTAAAGTATAATTTTTAAAAAATGAATAATCATGGGCCGGCCCGTGGCTCACTCGGTAGAGTGCGGTGCTGATAACACCAAGGCCCCGGGTTCGGATCCCATATAGGGATGGCCGGTTCGCTCACTGGCTGAGCGTGGTGCTGACAACACCAAGTCAAGGGTTAAGATCCCCTTACCGGTCATCTTTAAAAAAAAAAAAAGAATCATCATCATATTTTAAAGTTAAATCAGCAGTTGTCAAATTTCAAGTTTTATAAGTGGAAACACATGTTTTTGCATCAAATACACAACAGTTTTAACTTAGAAATCAATCTAATTCATTGGTCTAATAAGACTCTGGAGTCAGTGAGCATTTTTAAAAATTTGAATAATAATTTACTAGGAACTGATGTTTTTAAATCAAAGCAAACACTTAGCTTACTGTATACTAGAGAGGTGGCACAGGTAGTCGTTAAGAGAGCAGGCTCTGGAATTGGACAACTGCCTAAGTCAGAATATTGGCTGTACCACTGTGTGACCTTGAGAAAGTTACTTAACTTCTCTGGACCTCAGTTTCTTCATTTATAAAATGAGGATGATAATATTACCAACCAACCTGACAAGGCTCTTTTGAGGATTAAATGAGATACCAGATGTTAAGTACTTAAACTGAGAATAGCATATAGTAAGCATTCAATGAGTACTATTCACTATCAATGCTGAAACACCAGGTTAGTGGCAACAATCGGTGCTTACAGAAATCTCTGTGTAAACTGCCCAGTGTGACTGTAGTGGATTGAATTATGTCCCCCAAAACTCAATGAAGTTTGAATTGTGTCCCCCAAGTCTTATGTATTAGAAACTTAGCCCCTACTGTGACTGTTAAGAGGCTGGGAAATCCTATTATAGTAATTGAAAGGTGGAGCCTTGAGGAGGTGATTGGATTGCCAGACCATGCAGTAGTGAATGGATTAAAAATGGTGGTCAGGGGCATGGTTCTGAGGGCTTTAAAAGAAGAGGAGAGTCTGTCTGTCTGTCTCTCTCTGCTTCCACTATCTTGTAATGTGAGACCCCCTGGGTCACTGTCGCCACCACCAGATGGGCTTTGGACTTCCCAGCCTCAGAAACTGTTTAAGTAATTAATTTCGTTTTTCTTTATTAATCACCCAGTTCAATGTATTTTGTTATAAGCAACAAAAACGGAGTAATACAGTGTCCAAATTTGTTTTAACCACTCTTTTACTAATACTCTTTTCCTTTCCTCCACTCTTTATACCGATCCGCTATTGATAGCAAAGATTCTGCAGCATCCAGACAATCTTGAAATTGGGTCCATTAAACAAGGAGAGAAGAGGAAAACAATGACCTGGTGCGTAAAGCATAGAGCCTGGGGATGTGGCAAGGGAAAGGTAAGACTGTCATTCAGTCACTGGGAAATCAGACACAGTCATGTGAAAAACCAGAGTATTCCGCAATCCAGAGAGGAGGCTTGAGAGTTCTGGGGCCACCACAACCAATTTAAATCAGTAAAACATTAACTCCAATTGAAAAAAATATGGATAGTGACTTTCTCTCATTCATAAAATCAAGGCAAATAAGCCATCTAATGGGTCTAGATAGAATTACAGAAGAGAAGTACGACGCAAGGACTCGATCTGTGCAGGTTCACATGGAACTAGGAAATCAGCATTACCATCTGAGAGCAAAGAACTGACGGGATGGGACTGTGCTGGCAAAGACTGGGAAAAGAGGCAAGACAGTCGCCGCAGTACCCAACGCTGCCTACCACCCATCACTTGTAGTCTTCACCAGGCGACGGAGGGCGTGCTCGAGAGAATCTAGTAGCAAATCTCTTCATCTTCTAGCCTAACTTGGTGCCTGGCTGGCAGGAGGCGCTAAAATACGGACTGAGAAAACTCCTGAGTCCTTAAAAATCTTACACTAGCTCTCCCCATTTCAGCAGGACAAACCATGGGAAGCCCTTACACCTCGTCTTTAAAGCGAACAGATCTGGCCATTACTTAAATCATAAATTCTTGCCAAACTATCAAAACTGCACCCTAACCTTTCTCTATTCTTCTGCTTATTGTCAGGATAGGGTTGTGGGGCTTGGGAGAGAGCGAAAAATTTCTTAAATTTGTGAATCGCGACCCCTCAACAGCCTAAGAAGGAATGCTGTCCACTACTCGGCAGAGTCTGCGCCGACACGTGGAGCCGGGAAGGGGCGGCTCTGGGGGCTCGCGGCCCGACGCGGGGGAGTTACCTGTACAGGACGTAGGTGGGCGAGTCCAGGCTCAGGAAGCCTTCGTCCATAGTGGACGCCGCCGCTTCTCCGGCCTCGGCCGCCATTTCTTCTTCCTGCTGCAGCTGGGGCGGCGGCGGGGGCGGCGGGGGTGGCGGCTGTCCCCGCGGGCCGGGGTCGCGGCCGGGAGCAGCCTCTCCCACACCCTCAGTGGCCGCCATCTCTCCTCGACCTGCAGCAGAGGTCCCACCCCGCCCCCACTTCCTGTTACTCGGCTTCCTGCCATAGAGATGCGGGCCAGAGAGCCCAAGCGGCGGCCCATTCCGGTTATCCGGCTTCCTGCCATAGAGGTGCGGGCCAGAGAGCCCGGCCGGGGCCCTGTACCCGGCCGGGACGTGGGCCGACTGTCTGTCTGTAGCTCTCCCCGTCTGCAGGCCTTCCCCAGGGCTTGTGTATGACGCTTCGGAAGGTGTGAGTGGTTAGCGCCCCCGGTAGGGAGACAGCGCCCCTTCTTTCGACGGAGGCTCAGGACACTCAGGACCGGGCCTCCCCCGTCTCAGGAAACCAGCCTCCGTGGCCACCTGACCCTTTCAAGGTCTTTATATTCTCGCACACATTTTTTTTTTTCCTTTAGGATGCTAGGAGTGTATAAAGCAATATTTCAGTAATCCAGGGTGTATTCTCAAGTTAAAGTTCAGATTATGCAAGTAGTACATACGCATACGTTATAGGAACGGGAAACATTCATTTAACAAATACTTATTCACCACGTGTCACGTGCCAGGCTTGCTCACAGCAGTGAAAAGCAGCAGTCTCGGCAGTCATGGAGTTTACATTCCTGTGAGGAAAATTAGGATAGATGATAGCTGCCAAGAAAGATAAAGCATAACACCAAGGTCAAGGTACAGGCCAGCCGCCAAAAAAAAAAAAAAGATAAAGCATGTCGAGAGGACAAAAATGTTTGTGATGTCTTTTTCCGTAGGATAGAAAAAATTTTCTAGGAGCTTGTCACAGTTTGGGTAGAGTTGTCTCCCCGCCCCCAAGCTCATGTCCAAGTCTGATCTCCAATGTGTCAATGTTGGGAGCTGTTTGGGTTATGGGGGGAGGATCCCTCATGAATAGATTAATCCCCTGGGGGGGGGGGGGGGGAGGAAGTAAGTTCTCTCAGTTTCTGTGAGAGCTGATTGTTTAAAGCACCCTGGCACCCCACCTCCCTTGGTTCTCCTCCCCATGTTATGCTGCTCCCTCTGGCTGCTGCTTTCCGCCATGAGTAGAAGCAGCCTGAGGCCCACGTCAGATGCAGCTGTCCCAGAATCCTAAGCAAAACAATATATAAATCACCCAGTCTCAAGTATACCGTTATACTAACACACCCCCAAAACGGACTAATACAGGTAGACAGGAAGGCTTTTCTAGGAGCTATTTGAGTGAAGACCTAAAAGAGGAAAATGTATGCCAGGTACAGAAAACAGAGTGTATGCTTAGCATGTTATTTCAGTAAGGATGGCTGTTACCACCATTGCTACTCAGTATTGTACTGAGGTCCTACCGGCACAGGGAAAGAAAGAAAATACTGGAAATGAAGAACAGAATTGTCATTGTTTGTAGATGATACCATTATGTACGTAGAAAACAAAAAAATAATTCATGGGTAAATTATTAGAATTATTAAGAATTTATAAAGATTTCTGGATACAAAAATCCATATTTAAAAATCTTTATTTTTATGTGCCAACAACAAACATGAAATTTTAATAAAGATACTATTTATGAACTACTTTTTAAAAGATACATACATAAAATTTTAAAAAATAAATAAAAAGGAAGCCAGAGGTCATGGGAAGAATGAGAACTGACTTTTTAAAAATTGTGGTAGAATATACATAAAATTCACAATTTTTTTTTTTTTTTTGTCTTTTTTCGTGTCCAGCAACGGATTGCAACCCTCAGTGTCGCGCCCGTACTGGACCGGGACCGGCAACGGGATTGCAACACTCGGGGCTGCACCCGCACCTCGCTCAGCCAGTGAGCGGGAACCGGTCTGTATGTGGGATCTGAACCCTCGGAGGGAGCGCCGCCATGTTTCTCAAGCAGCGCACTGTAGCAGTGCGCCACTGGGCCGGCCCCTAAAATTCACAATTTTAACCATTTTTAAATGTACAGTTCTGTGACATTAAGTACATTCACACTGCTGTCAACCATCGCCACTATCCATCTCCAGAACATTTTCACGTTCCCAGTCTGAAACTTTGTACCCATCAAACAGTAACTCCTCATTCCCTCCACCCTCCAGCCCCTGGTAAGCACTAGGCTACTTTGTCTCTAAATGTGACTACTCTAGGGACCTAACGTAAATGGAATCATATATTATATGTACTTTTGTGTCTGGCACTTAGCATATCTTCCAGGTTCATGCATGTGAATTTCCTCCCTTTTTAAGGCTGAATATTCCATTGTATGTATATACCACATTTTGTTACCCATTCATTCATTGATGGGTACTTGGGTTGTTGCCACCTTTTAGCTATTGTGATTAATGCTGCTATAAACATTGGTATACAGATATTTGAGTCCCTGCTTTCACTTCTGGATATATACACAGAAGTGGAATTGCTGGATCATGTGGTAATTCTATGTATAATTTTTTTAGGAACCGCCATATTGTTTTCCACAGGGGCTGCACAAGATTTCCAATTTCTCCAAATACTCACCAATGTTTATTTCCTGTTTGTTTGTTTTATAATAGCCATCCTAATTGTTGTGAACTATCTCATTGTGGTTTTGATTTGCAATTACCTAATGATTAGTGATTTTGAAAATTTTTTCATGTGCTTTTTGGCCATTTATTGGATTTGATTTTAAATGCTAATTACTGGAAGGATTTGAGTATGGGAGGGACTGGTAATTTAAATTTTTAAAAGGCTTATTCTAGCTACCGTGTGTAAAATAAGATGTAGAAAGGCAAGAATGGAAACAGACTTGTTTGAACACTATTACAGTAGTCCAGGAAAAAGTTTAAGTTGTGATTCATAATTCATTAGTAGATTGTGAAATTAATTTAGTGGGTCTTATGGTGGACAAGGAGATATGCCAATCCTCTGAGGAAAGACTTGCTGCCCAGATTTGGAGACTGCGGTCAGCAGACAGCCTCCATCTGGCATGGCCTGAGGGCAGCCCACACTGGAAGACTAAATGAGGCAGAGATATAAAGACCCAGGAATTGTGGTCTGAAAAGGAACCCTCTGACAGGAAATACACCATAGAGTTCCCCACTGGGTAAGGGGGCTTCACAGGGCCTGCTTTGCAACTCCATCTTGCAGGTGTTTGTCCCTGATCTTGCAGCTCAAATTCCATCTTAGCATCTGATTCATGACCAGCATTTTAAAAAACAAAATATAGGGCCGGCCCGGTGGCGCACTGGATAGTGTGCCACTTGGGAAGCGCGGCGGCGCTCCCGCCCGAGGGTTCGGATCCCACATACAGACCGGTTCCCGCTCACTGGCTGAGCGAGGCGCGGGAGCAACACCGAGGGTTGC